TACTATTACTATTACTACTGCTACATTACTACTGCTACTACTATTACTATTACTACTGCTACTACTATTACTATTACTACTGCTACTACTATTACTATTACTACTACTACAACTACAACTATTATTAAGTAGTATTACTAATACTACTACTACTGCGACTATTAGTATTAATATTATTATTGTTGTTTTTGTTGTTGTTGTTGTAATTGTTGTCATTATATTTATTGTCATTATTGTATTTCTTGTACTTTTTCATGTTTGATTAGCGATGTTTCGTTGAGGCGCGAAGCCGTAGTACTTAATAAATGAATAATAATTAAATTCACTAGCACCGGCCTTGTTTTGTAATTATTATTAGGTCCGAACGACTTACTTCGTGCCTCTAACCTCCATTATAAAAATTTCTTATCGAGTCCTTAGAATCTGCTTGTGCGGTATTATTAGCCTACTACGAGTCGCTAATCAAAGCCATTTCATCCTCGTCTAGCGCGCCCAATAATGTCACCTCGCCAAATCTCATTACATTAAATCCAAACCAGACTCTCTCTGCATCGATTCCTCGGGTCGGGCGACATCTACAATCCGCAATTGGAATTTAACCTTTCCGTCCCCCTTACTAAACACCTTCATTACATTGCCTCGTACGCATTAAAACGTGGCATTACATGTTAGTACCGCGCCCGAAAGGTCTAGTTAAACCCTACAAATAGGATTTCTTAAGCGGTACCTGTAAGTATCGATTCAAGCGCATTAACGACAGTCAACCTTGCGCGCGCGCACCGCCTAGAATCAAGCACTCGCTCGAGCGAATCTTCGACGAAAGCTTTCCTTATTCGGAGGACCGGCCAATTATATTCTCATGATGGGAGTATCTGCGGGCAGACTACTTCGTGCCCTCCTGCAGGACTACGCGACCGCCAATATATATATATATATATATATATATATGTATATATATTCGGGGAAGTCGTGTTGAGCGTTAAGTTCACGGCGTTAACATGACGTGAGGCGGCTGTGATTTACGGTAGTTGTGCGCACAGCTTATGGCTGTATTACCAGACAGCATAATATTATTGTTGATCTAATTTTCATGGACAATGGAGGACGCGCTTCACGCTGTACCTACATTTTAACGGCAAAGGCAGCGAAATACCCTCCCCCCCCCCCCCCCCATTCTCTCCACGACTTACCATCGTCCCTCGCAGCTACAGTGTCCTTTTTTCGTCGCGCTACACTTTTTCTTTCCTCTCTCACAGCACTGTCGTCCTTTAACGAGGAAAAAGCACCGAGCCGTAAAAACTTTCCGGGGGTTTATGCTTATTATTAGAGTACATAAGTTTCGACTGACTTTTCGCCAAAATACGCAAAGTCTATATTTTTAGGGATTGCTCGTAAAAACGTTTAAAATGGAGCAAAAATGGTTTTCGACCTTTTTTCCTGGGACATTTTGGAAGATTGTGTGAAAAAGACGGTAGAAGCAAAGATAATTTTAGAAAACAATTTACATTGTTGTTACCTTAGCTTTTAGCATGTAGACAACATTGCCGTACTTAGGCATCACCATATATATATATATATATATATATATATATATTTATACATACTCCTGACAATACGGTATGTACTTATAAATATTTTCGGTCGCACTTTGAGAATTGCCGTTAAAATTGTGCAATATCGACAATATTGACAGTTAGCCTTAATTTTATGGCACGTGAAATATTCGAAATTTCTTCTCCATCTTTTTATCTTAGTAGATGATATAATTTATAATTGCGAGATGCTTTAAAAACCTGTTCGCATGGAAGTTGTGTAGTATATAATAATGTTTTTAAACTATCTTATATACTTATATCTAATGACTTTACACGATCAGCGAATTGCAAAACCTTTGTAATAAGAATTTCTTTCGTTAATAATGATCGCAGGCCATTAAACGAATATATATATATATATATATATATATATATATATTAGATTAACAAATGTTCTTAACTGCGTTAAACGAGATTTCAATGACATATCTAGATATTTATAATTGCATATAAAAAAAAAAAAAAAAAAAAAAAAAAAAACCAGTATCGTCCATATATATATATATATATATATATAATATATAGCATATATACATAAACTTTTTTTTTTAACAGTTCTATAATTACATGTAGCATTTAACTTTATAAACGCACTCGAATTAAGGCACTGTGTATTAGAAGCAAAAATCTATATTACATTTCCCATTATTGGTTCAAGTAATTGTAATTAATTTAACATTATAATTAATTTTTCCAATTAATTACATTAATTTTAAGCAACAATTAAGAGAGAATTTGTAATAATTTCTAATACATACCGTACAAATTTCTTTTCCATTAGTCAATAGCATATGCATTTATCATTTAATACACATCATTTAATTATCAAAAGTATTTTTAGTAATTTGTATATGAAGGAGAACAGTGCCAATGCAGAAAAGAGTATTGTCATTGTAAGGTAACAGAATAAAAGTTCTATATTTTTTATTTGAAAAATTGAATTTTTAAATTTTTAAATTTTTAGAGAGAATCATAAATTTCTTTTTGTCTATCGAATATTGTTATTCATAAACTTAAAAGGGTATACAGTCATAAATAAGTTTATTTTAATTAAATATGACATGTTTATAATTAATATTGCCCAATGACATTGATAAATGTGTAATGTTAATTGTGCAATGATGACATTTACATTAGCATCGTTATAAAGTTGGAATATATATTCATTTTTTTTTTCCCCCATATTTATTCCAAATTTCACGAATTAATTAGATCTGTACTAAACTGTCAATTATAATTAGAAATGGAAAATGATAGGCTCTGGTAAATCTCGATTAGCAAATCAAATTTGTACGAGACTTTTATGATCTCATTAGACATTAATCCTAATATATCAATTAGCAATTATCTACTTAATATACTACAGGTGTTTCTGAATTAGGTGAAGGTAGACGATGAAGATTTCTATACCTAAGTTCGCATTTGCTTCGTATCGATCTACAAAATTTGAGATAAGTGTGCCTGAATAAGAGCATGTAAAGTATCATGAAATAAAACTTTACTGCTCAAGTATCTAGGATCATAAGTAAGGAAAATATAAATGTTTAATCGACTCATGTATTAATGCAAGGAATAAATATGCTTTCTAATATTGGAATATAAAGGTAATAGAAAAATCATTGAAATGCACAATTATTTTGAAACAATATTTGTATATGAGCTCAACTAATAAAATAATGAAACGTATTGTATAAAGTTTGCATTGTCTTATAATTTACCAAGGGAGAGAGGAATATAAATTTTCGAAGAAATTGTAAAATGTTTGTAAAGACAATAATAAACTTTAATTCCATCTGCCAATTTATGCTTTATTACGCGATGAATTAAATAAATTACATTGTCTCATTATTATAATATGGTATATCCATGTCTTCTCTGAAAGTAATTAAACCAACAAGTTTATTTAGCACTTGGCAGGATTAAGTATCTCATTATTATAATTGTTTTTCCTAAAATGACGAATTTAATATTAGCTTATAATATACAATGGTCATAATCTTCTGTTTGGACATCTAAATGTATTACGAATGAATTCTCTTACGGAACTCTTTTCCAAAGAATCTTCCGACAATGAAGGCGACGTTGCCCCATATGGATTTTCCTTGCAATTTTCAATGCTGGTTTTTTTTTTTTTTTTTCTGAAGTTTCTTTTCAAACGTAATATTAATATCATGCTACGCCATTGTAAAATGCGACAATTTACGACGACGGACGAGAGTTAAATTGATACTCACCGCGGCTGTTCTCAAATACAAAATAAACTCATCCGAAGCCAAAGTGAAAGTTACGTCACGGTAATCTGTCCTGTTCACTTATTCTCAACACTGACGAAAAAGTCAAATACTCTTGGGTAGCACATGGAAAGAGAAAGTTGAAGAGTCCATAAGAGAGTAGAGAATTTGCGGGTGAAGAGAGAGAGAGAGAGAGAGAGAGAGAGAGAGAGAGAGAGTATGATAGAGGATTTAGGGGAGGGATGGCGGGAGTTTGGGAGGGAGATACATAGGTAAATAGATACGTAGGTAGGTAGATAGATAGATAGTTAGGTAGATAGGTAGGTAGGTAGGTAGGTAGGTAGATAGATAGGTAGTTAGCAAGGTAGGTAGGTAGAGAGAAAGAAAGAGAGAGAGAGAGAGAGAGAGAGAGACAGTGGAGGAGTAAAAGAAAATCATAACGATTTTATACGGCGGAATTATTAGAGATAATTTCTAGTCGGCAAATAATCCATAGACAACTTACCATTGGCTCGCGTACGTGTGCGCGGATTCGCGTGTGCGTGTATAGTCTCGCGCCCTTGGTGAAGGCCGTCGGTGCAACGGCTGCCCTCGGCGCGGCAGCTCCGACAAAGTTCTCCCCTGGCAATGGGCGTGGTCGGGGTGCCGTGGGAGATCCAATGAACTGCCCGTCCTTCGTCGGAACGGCCAATCGGCGCCCGCGTCCCGTGTCAAAGACCACCCGCTCCCATCGCTCCCCCCTCTATAAATAGCGACGCCATCCCCGGGCACGACTCAGTCCTACGGTAGTGAGGTACCGAGAATCATTCCCGTTTGTCGCTCGATCTCCTATTCCCTTCGCACCAGGAGTGCCGACGACCTCGTCGATCCGCTCTCGCCGTACGTATTCACTTACGTGCTAGGAGTCGGCGGTCAGGTCGGACGGACGATCGATTCGTTGTGAAGTGACATTGTAAAAAGAATCGGTTGTTGTTGTGCGCAATCGCCGTAAGCAAGTTTCGCGCGATGCCTGGATTTCACCGAACCTTCGACGAGCAGCAGATGGACCAAAGGGACGAGAAACCCATCGTCGTCGATGTCATGCCCCACTATCAATTGAGTCCGCCCCACAGTCCACAGTCCGGTAACATGCCCAAGACTCCAGAGAAAGGTAAGTTGAAAAGATCCGTCACTTTCGCTCATTTCTCATTTCGTATTTCGATTGCCATTAATAACGTACCGCCGCCTCTCATTTACACTTTTTGTTTTCTTGCATCCCGATTTAACGTTCGTTACGCGACCGCCATTGTCATTAACCCGAAATTTGACACATTAGCCAAATCAATTTCACCGGACTTTCTTATCTCCACCATGTCCGTACGCGAGTCGGTTGTATCATCCTCGATATCATCTTCGGTAATGTCCTCCAGGCGTTAATGCACCTTGCGCACCCATCCATTATGCCCTCGTCCCGGTCGGCTAATCGTACAACAACAACAACAATACACGCGATGCATCTAACCAAGAGGTTGGACTTTACGTTGCAATCCTTCCGAGAACGGCTCCGAGTTTATTGTGGTAATTATTTTATAACCTCAGCCATGATTCCGGGAAAGCGCATGGGGATTTTTATTGCTCGGGTTCTCGGGTGGGCTGGTACTATCTTCTTCCTTTCATCTTGCGTTTCTATCCATGTCTTTACGGATATTAGGTCGAGCAATTAACGTTTATGCGCGCTGATCCATATCCTCTAACGCTGTAAAAAAAAAAAGAATAATAAAATAAATAAATTAAAGAAAAAAGTAGTGAAAAGAAAAAAAATCTCTGGTTTATCGATGGACTACCGGAGTAGTGGGATGATGCGCGAAAAATCCAGTCCTCAGGAGAAGAGTGTCGGTGTTGTGGCGGGGGAGGGGGAGGGGGGACGTGCGCGCGCGCGCGGTCCAAAGCGGATGAGAGGGAGCTTTGTCGTTGAGCTCGAAAAGCGCTCTCCGCGTTTGTTTACGCCGCTAAAAGTCGAAACTTTACGGCCTTACCTACGGGGGGTGGGATTGGTGTGTGTGTGTGTGTGTGTGTGTACGTGTGCGTCTGCGTCTGTTTGCGCTTGCGTACGTTAGTTACGCCTTTGGACAATCGATGTGCGTACTTGGGGGGTCCCATTGAGGCCACGTCTATTTTGCGCGCGCCCTTGTCGACGGGGCCTTTGATCGTCCCGGCGACGACGTGGACTCTTTTTTGCGGTCGCCCCGGGGCTTCTCGCTCAAAGGTGCGCCGCGACACGTCGACGACTCGACCGTGGACTGACCGCACCGCGGGTCGCCCGACGCCCCGATCTCGTTATTGGGTCGGCGAAGGGCCCGTGGTCTGCGCTTCCGCCGGAAAGCCCGGCCCAACCCGAACGGCACCGAGGCTCGCTGTCGCCCGGTCAGCGAATAAATTCGCGAAAGGTCATGATCATTATCGCGAAATCTGACGAATCCGTGACACTATCCCCGACCGGTCACCGCCACCCTCGCCCCTCACTTTTTTTTGCGTGACAAGGCTCCTGTCTAACGTCAGTGTGTCTCTCTCTCCTCCTTTCAGCCATGCCATCGCAGTCGCAATTGCAGTCGATGGACCCAAATATACGTAGATACAGGACAGCTTTCACCAGGGATCAGCTGAATAGACTCGAAAAGGAATTCGTAAGGGAGAATTACGTATCGAAACACCGAAGAGTCGAACTGTCCGAGCAACTCAACCTCCCAGAATCCACAATCAAGGTAATTATTCTTTAATATTCACACGTGCCTATCAGAGCACAAATAGCGATGCAATGGGTTTGTGGGGAGGGAAGGGGTGGGGTAGGAGAGACTCTTTTCATTCGGAAAAACTCAGGAAATTGTAAATAAACAGATAGCCATTCGACGATCAGTGCCAAATCTCCGCGATTCGTTCGTTCTTTTGTCGTCGTTAAAGGAATGTTTTCGAGGCAGTCAAATCCTCGCTTCATTTTACGGCTTCTTCCTTCTACCGTATTTTACAGCTTCAGGAATCACGCAATCGACGCAAAATTCTCGTCCACGTTAACTTTTCCTAAACTCCTTGAAAAAATTGAGAACAATGCGACCTCGTGTAAGATTCGTCCAGGCAAGTATCTGCCCAATGCAAGTAATTCGGGGCTTTGTAAAGTCGCGGGCACCCAAATCGAGCCATTAGGGTTATTAAGGTACGCCAAAGGACACGGTCAGTCGGATCCAGTATTGTCGTGCCAAAGGCTCGCTGTGTCAGTCGAGGGACTGCCATGTTTGATCGGGCGATTATAGTCTGCCGACGAGAGTCCCGCTGCAGTTTCCCATTTTTTTTTTTTCCCGCTGTCCATCGGACCGCCCGCCCTCCCGCAAGCACTCCCGCCCCACCATTCGTTCACTGTTCTTTGTTTGCCGTGGGCAAACAGTCGATCACCGAGGACAAACAGCAGCACCTTGGCAACGCCTTCGCTAGAGCCTTGAGATGAGCTGCCAATACCTCGCTTTCTTTCTTCTTCGAAGCAGCCTTTGATTTTTGCCGTCGCTTCCCACTCCAATCGGCCGCGCGCATCTATCCTCAACGTCGTCGAGCTGACCAAAAGGACATTATGTTACTTGTAATTTCGACTTTCCGGGATACCTCAAGGTCTTCAAAAGTCAGGCAGGAGTGTAGGCTCGTTTGTGGGTCGATTCTCATTCGGATAAACATTAACGTACCACTGACATTGATATTGCGCGCACTTTTATGTCTAAAGGAATGCACACTTAGGAGTGGGAGAAGGAGCCGGCTCGGTCTGTTTAGCACCAGCGGTAAATTAAAAAGGAAGGACGAGGGATTGAAAGTAATGGAAAACGGGGAACGAACAAAGATGCGGAAACGAGATTTTGAATATTTTGGACGGGTGATGTGGACGGGATGTAGTAGCGCGGAAGAGGGATAGTTTTAGATAAATTTCGAGGGACTGGGAGGGGTGCGTAACACGTCAGAACACAATTTCAAGTATGCGCATATGATTATAAAAACAAAAAACAAAAAAAAAACAAGTAAAAAAAAAACAAAAAAATGAAAAGAAAAAAAATTAATTAACCGGTAATTCAATTATTGTTTCCAGGTTTGGTTCCAAAACCGACGCATGAAGGATAAACGCCAACGTATGGCCTTCGTTTGGCCCTATCCCATGTACGCCGATCCAACACTCGCTGGTGCCATCCTGGCAGCGGCCTCGGCTTCCCTGCCCCCAGCCGCTTATCACGCAGGTCCGACTCTACCGGGTGGTCACCTGAGCCCGGGTTACAGCGCCGCCGCGGCCTATTACGCGGCGCGCTACTCTCCCTACGGCACCCACTCGTCCGGGGTCGCGGGCCCTGGCGGCCTTCACCGACCCCACCCTCAGGCCCCGCCCACCTACGCTGCTCATCCCCACGTGCTACCCGGAGCCCACCATGGCGCTCCACCGCTCTCATCACTCCATCTTTCGGGACTCGGCGTTCCGAGTGCCCCCGCGGGTTACGGGGGCGCGGCACAACTCCCGGTGAGCGGTGCCGCGACACCGGTACACTACAGGCCAGGATCCATGCTACCACAGCTCAGCCCCGCGCATTCCGACGCCTCATCCAGTGACTGCGACTGCACAACCACTAACAATAACAGTAACAACGGCGTCGCCGGCGCCGGTGTCGGTAGTAACAGCAGCACCAGTAATAACAATGGCAACTGCAGCAACAATAACAACAACAGCAGCAACAACAACAACAACAACAACAACAACAATACCAGTATAAATAATAATAATAATACGAGCAATAACAATAACAACGGTGGGCTACAGCAGCAGGAGTCGCGTTACGAGAAGATGGCGTCCTTGAAGTTGCCGACGGGCCTGGCGCTCGCGGCCGCGGGACTTCAGCCCTCCCATCTGCACAGCATACAGAGCGCATTCGAAAGTAAAAGCGGAGTACTTGCCGGGTACTCTACGGCCATTAGTCCCACTGGCCAGACGAATCTCATCGCCAAGAGCACGAAAATTGAGGCGCCCAAGCTCTTCCAGCCGTACAAGAACGACATTAGCGAGAAGGCGTAGGGTTGGTTTAACTAAGTCATTTGCGCATCTGGCCTCCTCCGTCGCTGGGTCATCCAGCTCTAACCTCCGACTTTTGTAAAAGAACGAGAGGCGAGCGATGATTTCCTCATTCTACCTAACCCCCCCCCCCAAATCTTGTACAATAGCATTATCACATAGAGATTATTGTAAATAGCCAGACGGAGTATATGTGTTTTAGAGACTTGAATGTATTGTCTAGACGTTGAGCTCGTCACTGCCCCCCCCCCCTTCTCCACTCCTTTCCCTCGCCCAATAATGGCCCGAGCACCCCCCCCCCTTGCCCTATATCGCCAAACTCCTCACGCTCGTGCCACGGTCGATATATTTAATAACCCCATCACTTTTTGTATATAGCACGAGCGCCTTAAATAATATATTGTAAATAATTTTGGGACAAGTGCAAAGATTTATGAAAAGATGAATCGATTTTGAGCGAATGTACATTGAGCGACGTACGTACGTGCATTACCATATTCCAATGTGATTGATGAATGTGTGGTCCGATCGAGCGTCCTTGTGTATTTATTATGGACTGTGTCCATCCACAAAGATTACAAAGAGATATCTTCGTCTGCCAATCGATTGTTCATCGCTCTTATTATTATTATTATTATTATTATTATTATTATATAATTTTATATAATTATTATATATTATTATTATTATTATTATTATTATATATTATTTTTATATATTATTTTTATTATTATTAATTTTATTATTTTAATTATATTAATTATTTTAATAATTTTTATCAAATATAACGTCATTTTTCAATAACCGTGTAAATTGCGATTTTTTAAGCTGTGGTCACGAGTTATAAGCGTAGCTAATATATGTTATATATAAATGTCTGTATAAAGTGGTGTCTACGAAAAAAAAAGATTCTAAAAAAAAAATAATAATAAATATTACATATACAAAGTGAAACCAAATTAATTTTGTTAACATTATTTTATCATTTCTACTCTATTTTTAATTTTCATCGCACGTGTATCTTACTCTGAATAATCTCCAATGTTTAACAATTATTCACGATACTTCGCATGGAGACATTAAGTCCATGCGATATTTCCAATTCTGTTTTATAAGTAATTTTGTTATTCGATTTAATGTTGATTTTATTATCTCGATTTTACCAACTTGTAGGCAATTGCTGGGAAATCACACCTTTTATTCAAAAACTTTTCAAGTCTTTCAATCGTTTTCTCCAACTGTTTAATACAAGTACTTTCAAGAAGGCGCTTAACCATTTTATTCCAATTGCTTGCACAGTATCGTTTAACACGACTCTTCTGCGAGATTCAAAATTTTCTCAACTGACACGAGCATTTCCAAGTTTTATTTTTTAAGTCACAGCATTGCCTGACTTTTCTCAAAATCGATACAGATGGAATTCCCTGCCGGTCAATACATACAAATATTACGATTAACATCGACACACCACAATAGCTTATAAATTAAATGAATCGAATTGAAATTGTATAACAACAGACAGACAATGGCTACATGTTTTTTTTTTTATTCGTTAATCCAGTCAGATAGATTCACTATAAAATAACTATAATAGCGCGATAAAAGCCATAATTGATAGTTTCTTCATGGCGTATTTAAAAGAACTTTCCCGATTGATCGTGCCCGTTGATCGTCTCCAAACCATTAATTCTATACTATTAAACGATAAACTTTTTAAACATTAATACGATAATTTTGTGCCCTGCATTATATTCACCCAAATAAGCGGGTTGAAGAAAAGGAAGAAAAAATGAACAAAAAAAAAATAGTTAAGATATAAGTACGTGGATGGGGATGGGCTCGTTGCGTTTTATTCCATGGATTCCAAATTCTAATTCAATTTACGAGTTAACGATAACCCGTCCTCCTCGCACTTTATAAACGAGATGGGAGCCCCTACCCCCATCCCCTTCCCCCGCCATCGATTCCAGTAGTCGAGAGCGTTAAGGGTACACGTGACCCCCGGGGCTCTCGTCCCCCGCACCGCTTTAACAGCGCTGAAATAAGCTCAACGTCAATGCTGCCAACTTCGTATTCACTGGAATCGACCCTCTCATTGTATATCTGACGGTTAAGGAATGGAAGAGTGATTGGGTGGAATGGGGAGGGGAAGGGGGGGGGTGTATCGCGTGGGTGCCGAGTCGACGACCCATTGCTGGCCGCCCCCGTGTCATTAATGATTGAATCGACGTGTCGGACGATTGAGTCGCTTCGACCTGTCGTGTCACGCGCTCCCCGACTTATCCTATTAGAGGCCAATTTTTATTTAAGTGAGCTTACACGGGATCGCGGCATTGCTTTGACTTTTATGGCGACGTAAATGTGTGCCGATGATTAATGGAGGCATGTAGAGCGCATTACACGCATTTTTTTCGTGTTATTCACGGAATTATTGTTGCCCATTACCGAAGCATTATAGTTTGCGCTAATAAGACTCGGTAGTCGGAGCATTTAAATTCGTAATTTTTACTTTATAATGAGCTGAAGCCAAACGCTGCTCTCTACAATCCAATGGTTATTAATTTTTCGCACACTTACAGCTCATTAATCTTTGTATTACAATCGTATTATCATTATCATTATCATTATCATTATTATTATTATTATTATTATTATTATTATTATTATTATTATTATTAATGTTTGAAGAATAGACATATTCGTGGGAAATGACTTGGATTCTGGTAGAGGGAACGGTGTTGTAAGGCCATGCACGTTCAACTCTTGGAACTTAAAGCCTCGATCAACCATCATCACACCACAACCAGAAAACACAACGATTTACCGTCAATTGTACCTCGATATCGATTAATCCTGTGATTCCATGGCGTTCCTTATAAACTTATAAATTGTTAACGTATATTCTTTGAAATGCAAGGAAAGCCTAATTTGGATATTAACGTGCGAGTCTTCGTTAACGCCACGAAAATCCATTAAATCGTCTCACGAGAAATCTTACACGATGACATCTAACGTACATAGGTGGGCTTCCTTACGTACGTACCCGGTCGATTGCATGAAATTCAATGCGCAAGAAAATCGACGATTTTGTGACTTTCGTGAAAGGGGAAACGTACTTTTATGCCGATGAAATAATGAAAAATAAGTATCAAGCAATTTGTTGTATCAAGCAGTTGTTAAAATAAAATTAATGTGCATATTAATTTCATGATAGTATTATTATGCTAATATTGTATGACTTTTACGTTGTCATTGAATAAATAAGGTATGGAAAGTATTGCTGTAATGAACTCTCAAATGCTTCTTAGATACACGTGTCAAGAATTTAATATACATTTTGCGTTTTCAACGATAACAACCAAATGGCGTAATATCGAACGAATAATAAATTTATGCATAATTTGTAATAGATTGCTATTTATTAATAAAAATTCAATGCCTATTAACCGATTACCATCACTATTGTTATTATTAATTTATCTAGAATAATTACATTATTGCATTTAGTGCAAAGGTTGTCCACGCTAATAATACATTTATTTTATTATTATTGCATTACAATTGTTTCATTAAAGTGTCAAAATATTTAAAATTATCATTTACTTGTACTGCATAATTTATACGATGTGCCTTGATGTAAAAAGCAAATTAACAAATAATATTAGATAAAATTGTTTAAATGGCACTTAAGTTTATTGTATGATATTTTTTGTTCTTCGCGAAGTGAAATAGTGGCGAGAGAGGGAGAGAGAGAGATTTAAAAAGGTTTGAGGCGGCAACCGTCGGTCTAATCGTAAAATCATAAACTCCTTCGAAATTTCGTAAACTACGAGTCGAGTTATATACCTTAATAGGAAGTCCGATAGACTCGCAACGACATACGAGAAAAAAATACTAATCTATGGTTATAAATATAAAATGACACGTTTGTTCGGAGGTGTGAAAAAATAATCGAAAAAATCATTCAACAATGTACTACTGGAATTCCTCTTTTTGGTTATAAAAGACCGTATCGCTTAATTAAAAAGGTCTACATGTGCTATAAAAAAGGAAAAAAAAGAAAAAAAAACTTATATTCTTTCTGTGCTTTTCATAGTTGCTCATTCCACTCTGTATTAATTAACATAATAATATAATTATTTCAAATATTAATTTAAACAGCAGGATTAACATGCATTATTCATTGTTCTTTTAATTCTAAAAAAACAATAATGGAACGAGCTCCCACTAATAGTTTGAAAAGTTCGGCTAAAAAAAAATTTGATTATGCCTAATTTTTCTTTAATTATACAATTTATTCCAATTATAGCTCTAACGTCATGCACAATCTTTCCAAGTCATGTCATAAAAATAACTTCCAATCCGAATGTTTGAATTATTTAAAAAATAAATAAATATTTATCTTTACAAAAATATTGTACATTAGCTGTTTGATGATTGTCGCAAAGAAAAAAATTGTATGTATATATGCAGTTATATATATATATATATATATATAGTTATATGCTCTTACATGTATTTGGTTACCAAAATAAACTTCAGCGTTTATCTCAATGAAATAACAAGTTCAAAGAATTGTAAGTTTGAATGACAGGACATGCCGTCAGCAAGGAAAAACAATTTGTCAAAGTTATGCATTTATTATAGATGATGCTGAGGAGGGGCGTGATGAGTGATCGACTGGGAGAGGGGCGAGGGGGAGAGGGTCATTTGGTTGGTATAAATAAGGAAGGAATTATCCGTAGTTAATATTCGAAAATCATTTTCCTTCCTACATTATTAGTTAATTGCAATATGTATATAATTCGTCGTAAGATACATCTTCAGCTCATAAATAATCTTCGTAATAAATAATTAACGAGAAGTTTATTAGGAAGGAGTATCACAGTCGGTTGTTTATTCGCGCAGGTCTCGGCAGCTGCAAATAATTTTTCCCCAAACGACTCGGAGATACGAAACGACTGACACCCTGTGCCTCGTGCCTTCCGGGACTATTAATATTGCGCTCGCGACGTTAATTTCTCAAATCAAGATAATGCAGAGTCCATCGTTCTTCTAGCAATGACGCGCCGCCTCTGTGCACTATAGTAGCCTCGCGCAAGTGCGCATTGATAA